CACCCACCTTTACCTGTCCAGGGGCCCACAGGAGCTGGGGGAGGGTGGGAACAGTTTAGGGCACTGGTGTGATGAGTGAGTGAGTAGGAGCTCTGGGTCAGCAGCTCACAGGTCATGGAGCCACCAAAACCAGCAGTGCAGGGCCAGTGTGCTGCCATGTCCCCTTGTGCTGCTGCCATGTCCCCTTGGGCTTCTGACTGGTGAACACTGGAGCTGCAGCTGTAGAAGTGAAACCAGAGGCTTCAGAGAGCAGCAGCCACCTTTGGTTTCATGAGGGTCCAAAAGCAGCAGCGAAGTTTTGATGTTTGATGGCCTGGGAATTCCCACAGGCTGCACTTGCCATGGCACAGGTAGCAGAGGGTGATCTCCTGGAGCAGCAAACACAATTTCCCAGGGAAATGCATCAGCTCAGCAGGTGCTGAGGTGGAACCCAGCAGCCACAGGCTGGCCCAAACCAGGGGCTCAGAGGACATAGGGTTAACTCAGGCTGCGAGTGCAAATGAAAGCTGTGAGCTGGAAGCTGGAGGTGGGGTTGGGGATGCAGGGTGGTGTTCAGGGAACAGATACCACCAGCCTGGCAGGTCTGGCTGGACCGGAACAGCCTCCAGCATGACTTCAGAGCTGTGCTGTTGTGTCTCTGGGCTCTGGTGTGAGTAGGCAGAGCGTGTGTCAGCCGCTCGCTCGGCGCTGCTCCCTGGGAGAGACGGAGTTTCCTGTCTAGACCCCGGTAATCGCAGTGAGGAGGGGTTTGCAGGCAGCCTCCCGCTCCTTCTCCGGTGATTACCGAAGCAGAACCCGGGCTGCAGTTCCCCCTTCCTGGGGAAGAAACACCTCGCTTCTGCCACGTGTCTCGGAAAATGTGGCGCCCGTCTGCTCCCGGCTTGCCTGGGCTCAGGGCTGTGGGCTGGAGCAGGAGCCAGCCCCTGTGCTGCCTCCAGCACTGCCTGCAGGACAGCCTGGGGGGTTTGCAGCCCCCCAGCTGCGGCTGCAGGGCTCCCCTTGATGCTCAAAGGATGCTCCTGGAGCCCAGAGATGGGACTCCCTGGAAACTGCTCATGGGAGGGACTAAAAGTACTGGGACCAGCCCAGATTCTTGTGCCTCAAAAGTTAGGTGACCAAGGAGAGTGATGAAGGGAAAGAAAAATTTCCTGAATCCTGCCCTGCCTGGGGCTGCAGGTGCTGCCTAAGTGTAGACATGGCCTTAAATCCAGGCCCTTTGCCACAAGGAGGGCAGAGCATGTCACTGTACAGGGGTGGGCAGTGTGGGTCCACACATGGGTGCTCCTCAGGGTCCCTGTCCTCATGGAAGTGGGGCCCACACGGGCACCAGCAAGGCTTCCTGATGGGATGTCTGAAGTTCTGCTGACAGGCTGCAGCCATGGCTACCAGCTCCTGGGCTCTCCCAGTCCTGCTGGACAGTGTGCCTGTGGAGAGCTGCTCTCTGGAGCTGTCTCCTGCAGGAGACAGGCAGGGGTGAGGACAGGAGGGCAGGACCATTTCATGCACTAATTTAATGATGTTAAGAAAAAACTTTAGTAAAATTGATCCCCTAGAAGTCAGCTCTATTCTCTTCTGGTCAGCAGGGCGAGGTGAAGCTTTGAGCCACAGGGGTTTTTTGGGCCTGTGCCCTCTTTCTGCCCTCAGACTCAGTTCCCTTTGTCTGAAATCCCTCGACGTCTGTGCGGGCAGCGCGGGGACAGCGCGGCGGTGACAGTCCTGCTCGTCTGTCACTGAGTCACTGCCACTGGGAACCTGTGGCTGCTCCTCTCCCTGCGGTTTCCTCAAAAGCAGTTCCTCTAAGAGAAAGGGACCCCACGTGCTTGGGGACCATGGAGAGGGACAAAGAACCCTGGGCCATAACCTTGGTCCTGTCACAAGCAGCCTTTAGTGTTTAAATACAATCCCTTCAGCCTTCAGGAGCAGGGCTGGGAGCGATGTCCTCATGGCAGGGACATTCCAGCTGAGTGTGCAGCCATGCCACAGCAAGGGCATGGAGGGGCAGTGGTGGCAGCAGGACTGCTCCAAGGGGTCGTGGATTTTCAGCACTACAAGTTCCATGGGCTCACAGAAGTCAGGGTGAGGCTCTCAGGGCAGCAGCAGCAGCTCTTGCCCTTCACCTGTCCTTGGTCTGGGTGGGGTTTGGGGGCCACTGCTGCTGTACTGGGCTCCTGGCACTGGGGAGGTGACTGCTAGAGCCTCTGGCAGGATGCTCTGGGAGGAGGCCTGGACTCTTGGAATTTAATACCAATCCTGCCAGTGCTTACTGGGAGCTGGCATGGCCCAGAACAGGGCTCTACATGGGCAGCACGGGAGCCTGTGCTACAGCAACGCCGGAGGAGACTGTTGTGTCTGTTGTTTGGAAACCCAGAAAAAATAGTCAAAAGAGCCAAGTGCTGATTTTTCCAGCCACAGAGGAGCACCCAGACTAGCAGGAAAAAACGCTGCATGCTGAATTCCTATCTTGGGATGCATGGCTTGGGGCTGCTTCCCTGCCAAGCCCAGCCTAATTACAGATGATTAAGGAAACACGTATTTGGTGACGATGCCAGGGAATTGCTGATAGAAAGGAGGATATAGGGTTAGAAAATGGCCCAGCTGGGAAAAAGAACCTTTTGTGCCCAAGGAGAGGGTTTTGCTGCCTCCATAAGGGGCCTTGGCATGTCAGTCCCTCTCTAGGCTCCAAGAGTTACAGGATCTGATTTGATTTCCTTCTTTGCTGAGGTTCATGTCTCCCACTTTTTGCAGTGCCACTGTTGCAACAGCCCCAGCAGCTCTGAGAAGGTTTCAGGGGGGAACAGAATTCAACAAAAAACAAAACAAAACAAACAAGCCCAAACAGATAAAAACACCCAAAAAAATCCCCAAAAACCCCTGTCCCATGCCTCTGGGAATGTGTAACCGCTGTCCCCACATGGGACACCTTCAGTGTGGTGGGTGCCCCAGCTCTGCCTGGGTAGCTTTGGGCCCTGGTACCCAGGTTTGTGCTGGTAGAGCTGGGGGGATCTTGACTTACCTCTGGTTTCTGCCTTGCAGCAGAAGAAGTCGTACCTGGAGCGGAGCGTGAAGGAAGCAGAAGACAATATCCGGGAGATGCTGATGGCCCGCAGAGCACAGTAGTGGCACCCCCAGCTGCTCTGGGCTGATCCTCAATGCCTGAACCCCCCCCTCACCTTAATAAAACTCTGCTTTATTACTGTCTGTGGCTGCTCTCCCTGCCTGGGTGTGATGGAGAAATGGGGTGGTGGGAGGAGTTGGGGTGAGTGGCCTGCAGGGCATCCCTGCTGTACCCTCATCCTGTGGGGACACTGCCTGCTGCCTGGTGTGGGCACTGGGGGTGGTCCTGGGGAGGAGGGAGATGGGCAGGGCTGGCACAGGCACAACCATGGACAAGGACACGGGCATGGGAACCGGCACAGGCACAGCCAGCCTGTGCCAGGAGGTTATTCCCACTGCTCCGGGTCATTCTTACTGCCCTGGGTCACTCCTGCTGTTCTGTTCCATTTCTGCTGTCCCACTCCATTCCCTGTCCCATTCCATTCCCTCTGTCCCGTTCCGTTCCCTGTCCTGTTCCATTCCCTCTGTCCCGTTCCATTCCCTCTGTCCCGTTCCCTCTGTCCCGTTCCCTTCCCTGTCCCGCTGTCCCGTTCCGTTCCCTCTGTCCCGTTCCATTCCCTGTCCCGCTCCGTTCCCTGTCCCATTCCCTGTCCCGTTCCGTTCCCTCTGTCCCGTTCCGTTCCCTGTCCCGTTCCGTTCCCTCTGTCCCGTTCCGTTCCCTCTGTCCCGTTCCGTTCCCTCTGTCCCGTTCCGTTCCCTGTCCCGTTCCGTTCCCTGTCCCGTTCCATTCCCTGTCCCGTTCCGTTCCCTCTGTCCCGTTCCGTTCCCGCCTGGCCCCGCCGGTCCCGCGGAGCTCGGCCCGGCACCGCCCCCGTGTGGCCGTTGTGGGCAGCGCCCCGGCCCGGTCCCCGCCGCTCTCCAGCGCCTTCCAGAGGCTCCCGGGACTCGGAGCCGGGAGTTTCCAGGTGCTGCTGTCACCCCAAAGGTACACGGGTGCTCTCACACTCTGGACCGGCCCTTCGGTGCCCACAAGTTCCCACCCCACTTCCTTCCTCCCACCACGGCGGGTGACCAGGAATCCACTCCTGATTCCTGACAGCTGCCAGGGAGGTGACAATGGCAGGGAAGGTGACAGTAATCATTCCCAGGGCTGGGACTTCTGGGACCCAGGCCACACACCTGAGCTTACGGCTGCAGAAGAAGGCTCCTGAGGACAGGGCACTGCAAGGGACTCTCATCAACCCCAAACACATGAGCTTGCCCCAGACCAGAACCCCGAACTGCAGTGCTGAGCCCAGAGTGGAGCTGTACGGAGCCCCCGGGCTGCACAATGAACAGACAGCGAGTGCAGTGCCCTTTGCAAACAGGGCAAGATCCCCGGGTGCTCTCAGGCAGTGCCTCACAGAGCCAGTGTGCGGCAGGACACCAGGGTGGGCTTTGCTCCCAAGGCTGGGGGAGCAGCAGGGTGGGACACACCCCCACAGAACCAGCAGTGAATTCTCCCCACTCTTCTGCACACGAGAGCTTTTTATCCCTTTTCTGGCCAGGCATGCCATGGAACAGCTTCAGCTCTAAATCCTCAGCACTAAATTAATCCGTGGCTTTTCTCTTCTTACTCATTAATTTACCTCTCGCAAGCCTCTGCTCTGCAGCATGGGATGATGGATCACAGCTTGGGACCAGCCCTGCCCCAGGAGCTGTTGGTGCACACACACAGCAGCTCAGCCTGTGCTTCTCCCAGCTCTGCTGTCCCAGGAGCTGCTGGAGAGGGCCCTGGTTCCAGAAGGGAAAAAAAATAAGGATGAAAACCTGACCGTGCTGCCCATTGTGGGATGAGGGGCTCGGAGGTGCCATACCAAGGACTCCTCCCTACAGAGTCAGTGCCCACAGACAGCACCAGAGGGGATTCCCACCCTGCAGACAGATTCACTGAAACAGACGGAACCTAGTGAAGAAAATCAACTGTTGGCTTTAATTATTGCGTACGTCTTCGTCTCTAGGGCTAGGAAAATCTCAACTGGTAAATATACATTTCATCAGAATGCCTTTGGCTGAAATACACCATTAGCACATTCTTCAAAGTTACAACAAAAGTCTTAGAAATGTTAAAAAGGGCTATTTTTTTTCCTTTACTAAAATAAAGGAGTGCACCCCCCACCCCGACAAGGCGCTAGGACGGACAGACGGGAACTCTTGGCTGTGCAAAGCAGAGCGTTGATTACAGTAACAGAAAGAAGTCGGGACAGGAGTGGGGAGCCTGCATAGCACACGGTGAGCGGTGTCAGGTCAGCATGTCCCAGAGGCAGCAGCAGCAGAGCGCGGTCCAGCACGCCGTCAGGCAGGCGCTCTCGCCCGTGTCGTCCCTCCGCCGCTCCTCCACGACGTACACTGCGGGCACAGAGGGGCTGGTGAGGCACAGAACGGCTGGCACCACACACACTTGTCAGGGGACAAGAACCAGCTGTGGCCCTGCCCCCAGGTTAGCTTTCCAGGAGGTGCCAGCTTCCCCAGCTGCAAGCACATCTGCAGCCTGTCCGTTCAGACTGGCATTGCTCAGCCCCCTGGAATGAGGAGCTGCTCTCCAACACCGCTCCAGCCCTACCACACACACAGAACTGCCTCCTTCCCCAGGATGACAGCACAGGGACTAGTCCTGCCAGGGACCGGTCCTTGGCCCAGCTCTGTGCCCCTCCTGCACGTGAGGGGACTCCCAGCTCTGTCAGGCACAGGCTAGGAGGTGGCAGTGCAGTGACACCTCACTCGCCACGGGGCAGCTGTCCAAATGCTCCAGGTATCGCCCCATGGACAGAAACCATCTGCCCAGAGGCTTCTGGCAGTCTGCTGGGATTTACTGCTTGAGCACACAGGAGGGAGCCCCAGGTTTGGATGGAGCTCTCCAGGCAGAGCCTCCTTGAGGCCAGTGTGCTGCTTGCTCCCTGTGCCAGCTCCTGAGGCCCATTAGGACAGAGGAGCAGTTTATCTCTGGTTCCTCCTCGCTGAGCCCAGGCTGTCACATCCAGAACTGCAACAGTCTGAGGGCAGGAAGGGGACTGTCCTTCCTGACAGGTCTGATTGTTGTGATCTGTGTGGAGAAGGTGCCCCTCCACCCAGGAGTCCAACCCAGGCAGGCAGCCAGTGCTGAACACAAGGTGCTGGGCAGGCAGAAGCCTGGGCAGGACACAGCTCATGGCATCGGCCTGGCCTTCCCAGGGGTTTGCTTTGTGCCCAGGAAACCGTTCCCCAGTCACTACTTCAGCTCTGCAGAGCGATGGGCAGAGGATGATGTGGTCCAGCTTACATGATGCTAAAACCCTAAGAGCACCAAGCGAGGCAGAGAGAGGGAGTCCAGTACCCCCACATGTCTGTGCCTGGGGACAGCCTGTGCCTGAGCCTCAGGCAGCCTCCCTCTCATCAAGGGGAATAAAGGAGAGGCATCCTCTGCCCAGGCAGAGCCCAGCTCCAGGGGAGCCCCTGCACAACACTGCTGTCCCACTCCCTCTGACCATTCAGTCACAGCGCCTCAGCCCTTGCTCCAGGAATGGCAGGATGGAGGCACCCTTCTCCCTTCAGCCCCAGGAGGAGGTGGCAGCGCTGTGAGGGGCTGTGCTGGAGCAGAAGAGGTGCAGAGCCCAGGCTGGCAGGACCTGATGGAAACCCGGCTGCACGATCTCCTGCCCACAGCCCAGGGCACCCAGCCCCTGCCACACCCGCAAGGAGCTCGGTCCATGACTTGTGAGCCTGGCACCCCGGCTGCCTCTTTCATCTCCCCGAAAGGGTGGATCACAGACCCATCCCATGCTGGCCCGAGGGGAACAGGTCACACGGCAGACAGGACTTTGGTCAGGGCCCTCCCTCCTCCCTGCTCTCAGCCTCAAACCTGCACTCAGCGCCACGCCTGGAAGACTCGCAAAGAGAACACGGAGGCTTGTGAGCCCTGACCTTACACAGCAGCGTGTCAGCAGCTCTGCCCACTGCCTGTTCTCCATGGAGAGGTGACCCAGGGGCTCGGTCTGGGCTTTATTTTCCTGGTAGATCCAGGAGCTCTAAACAAGCAGCTCTTTGGTGCGTTTGTTTGCTCTAAGAAGGTCCTGTTACAATCCGTGGAGGCAAAGCACACACCAAATGCTCTCAGTCCTGTGTAAGATGGTGACATCCCTGTGCTGGAGCCCTGGCACAGCCCTGGCATCCAACCAGCTGTTGGATTGCTGTTCAGGCTGTCCCACCTCTGAGCCATGGGGAGCTGGATTGCTGCTACCAGAGCATTGCCATAACCAAAACTGAGGGCCCCAGAGCCCTGAGACAGCCAGACCCACAGCAGAAGGAGCCTGCTCTTTACCAGCTACAATCAGCTGTCCAGGACTGCAAGAAGTGTTTGCCTGAAGTATTTATGATTAATCCATTAGAAGTTTTAAGCTACAGCCAAGTGTCAGGGACATGTTGACAAAGCCTGTTCAAGGCATGTACAAAGTGCTGTTATGAAACACTTGCTGAAATATTAAACAAAATGGCTTTCCCAAGCTTGGGCTGGTGCAGAGGGAGCCGGGCATTCTCCCCACGGCTGCTCAGCTGACTCGTGTTGGATGCTGCCCCTCCACACTGTGGGTGACAGTGTCCATGGGCATCACCCTGTCCCTGCCCTGTCCCTGCCAGCCCCCTGGTACTGCTGTGGTTGTGCTGGAAGGAGCTGCCCAGGCTCGGGGCTCACAGGCACAGCTGCCCACTAACAGCTGGGGACAGGACCAGGACAGGGCAAGGGACAGCAGCCATGACAAGGCTAAGACTCACTGTGGGTTTGGGGTGAGCCTTCCTGTTAGAAGCAGAACTCATGTTTGTTCCCTCACTTCTGCTAAAAGCTGGAAGCCATTTAAACCAGCAGCACATTGTGGCAAAAGCACCTTTCTGCACCTCTGAAAAAAAGCTGTGGTACTTTAACAAACCCACTCACCTTCCAAGTTCAGGGAATGCCCCAAAGACAACACCTGCAATACACATTTGAGAAGTTGCTGCTTTCCACTGCAGAGCTCCTCTCCAAGGAGAGCAATTCTCAAGGGCAGCTCTGCCTCTGCCAGCAACACTGCTGCAATCCGAGTGTGCACACCATCAGCACTGGAAACTTTCACACTCAGAGAGCATCTGGGCAATGCTCTGAAGAGAGACAGCCACCTGTCCTCACAGTTTGTGAAGCTTTCTTTGAAGCCACATCAATGTTTCAGGAGTTGCAGCTTTGTTGCTGTGACCACACAAATTGTCACAGAGGTTTTAACCATAGATATACAGCATTAATGCTGAACAGCTTTTCTGATCTGGGTGTGGGGCTTGCAGAGGACAGGAGAGGAGCAGGACAGGTGAAGGGTGGTCAGCTGTTCAGTTCTACCAAGGCACACAAGCTGGGTGAACTGCTCCCAGCTCAGCCTCTCACCAACCTGGAGACACCCTACACCAATTCTGCTCATTTTGGACACCTGACCATTGGCTTCAGGGCACCAACAGAGTGACACAAGTACCCAAGGACATTGAGAGCACGAGGCAGAAGCTTCACCCACTCCTCCCAGCCCATGCAGTAGTGCTGTGCAAATGCAGTGTCAACCCCCCATATCCAAACCTCCTGAAAAAAATTCATTGGGAAGTCTTGCACAGCCCATTACTGATGGCAAATCCCCCCACAGCTTCCCAACCAACTGCAACCAGCAGGACTGCATCGACAGACATCAGGTTTTCTACTGGGATACCTTTGCCAACAAAACCCAATCCAAAATGTCTGTGAGATTCCTCAGTGCCTGAGTGCCTCCAAGCTAAAACTACCTAGTTTTCTATGGTGAGGCTTATTGGGAATCTCATCAGCTGCTTTGTGCTCCTCTTTTGGCCAAGGTTGGGCACTCCATCCACCTCCTACAGCACAAAGGGTCCTCATTACTATGAACAGAAGCCTGGTGGTCCCAAAAAGAAGAGAAACATGGGTGATTTCTCCTGGAGGCACTAGAAGGCATTCAGTTCTAGGATCCAGTTTTGACGGTTTCATTGTTTTTCCTGAAACAGGATGGGAGAAGGTATAAACTGAGAGACCCTCCCACCTCCTAATCAGCCTTAAAGAGCGTAGAGCACAATGAATCATGCTTACCCTGGAAATTGTATCACTCCCTGTAATCACACAGCAGTGGCCTGCACAAACCAGTGCAAATAACTCACACTTTGTTTTTAAAACAAATACTACAATACCTTCTTATTTCATGTACAGTCTACTTTATCTTGAGCATATACATTTTGCTTCTTCTCATACCTAATTGATATGTTAATCATTAGCTCCATGAGGGAATGGAATGAGCTTGTACTTTTCACCTGGTTTGGCATAAACTAAAATCGTGACCTCAGACTGCAATGCCCCTTATTGCAGTGCTTTACTGGGTCTACAAGGATTGCAGTACAAGGGCACTGGTGCCAGAATCAGTCCATCCTCTCCCAGGATCCTGACACAGACATCACTGTCAAGGTACCAGCTTACCTACATGGGGGTAGTGACGGTGCCTGAGAGCCCCTGAGCTCCTCACGCTCTCCCAGGAGTCCTGCTGCACATCACAGGGGCCAGGCCCTTGCCTGGGTATCTCAGGAATGACAGGAATGACATCCAGGCACAGAGAAGCCAGCAAGAGCCAGGCTCAGTGCCTGGAGAGCAGAAGGTGGAGAGCACAGCCCAGCACCCACCACCCTCTTAAGGTGCCACTTCAGTTTTTTAAGTCAAATCCCACTGCCCTAAAGTTTACTCTCCTTTATGTCACCTGTGTGCCAGCACAGACCCCTCACCTGCACTCCTGGCTATGAGGCAAGGCCTGGGGCACATGAGAGGAAGCAGCAGTAAGTAATATACCAATCACTGCTCCTGCAGTCCCAAAATCCTTCCTGTGGTATCAGAATGGCTGTTTGCCATGGGAACAGCTGGTCAGAGCAGGAGCATTAAGTAATACCAGAGTCTCATCTGGGAGGGAGAGCACAGCAGAGAAAGGACCCATAAGCCTCTTCCCACTTGTCAATTAAGTGGGTTTTATCACAATCCACTTCTGCAGCAAGAGCTTTGTTCTCTTCAGCGAGCAAGAAGTCTTGCTCACCACCACTTAGAATGATTTTGTGCTGTCTGCAGCAGATTGCTAAGTCAGGTCAGCCTCTGCATCTGCTTTTTACCTTCAAACCATTCTCACCCAGGTCCTTGGAAAGCTTTTCTGTTCAGGATGGAGGACAGAGAAGGGAAAGCAAGCACAAGTGCATCCAAGGGATGCAGAAGCAACAGGAAATCAGATGTCCTTGAGCCCCTCTTGAAGGTGCACACTCTGGTGCAGACCCAGAGCTACAGGAGGAAGAACCACCTCGCTGTGACCTCCAGACATCCCCTTCTCCTG